TAAATTATGAAATGAAATTTACACAAAAAATAATTACACCATTATAATCATATATTTTTAAATATCCTCTATCTAAAAAGTTTGTTATTTTAAAATTTTTTTATCTAAATATATATTCTAAAGATTATTTATCTAAATAATAATTTTAATAATTAAAATAAAATTAAATAATTAAAATATTTATTATTAAATTAATAATTTCTATTTTAGTTTAATTCAACTTTAATTTAAATATTTAATATTTAATATTATTTAAACAAGAATATTTTTACCTGTTAATATATTTTGAAATGCTGTTTCAACGTTTGTAGAATCTAAAGCAGAAGTTTCAATGAAAGAGAGGCCATTTTTTTCTGCAAATGCTTTTGCCTCATCAGTTGGAACTGCACGTAGATGCCTTAAATCAGACTTGTTTCCCACCAGCATAATGACAATGTTTTGATCAGCATGATCCCGTAATTCTCGTAACCATCTTTCAACATTTTCATATGTCAAATGCTTTGCTATATCATATACCAATAGAGCTCCAACTGCACCACGATAGTACCTGAACATATAAATGAAAATAAAATTGTTTTAAAATGAATTATTATCAATGAGAAACACAAATGTTTTATTTAAATATTTAATTATTATACTCTAATAATATAAGAATGTATTGTCATTTTTTTTATTAGATAATTTTAACTTACGCAGATGTAATAGCACGATAACGCTCTTGTCCTGCTGTGTCCCAAATTTGAGCTTTTATAGTTTTTCCATCTACTTGTATACTGCGTGTAGCAAATTCAACTCCTATGGTTGATTTTGATTCCAAATTGAATTCATTTCTTGTAAATCTCGATAAAAGATTACTTTTTCCTACACCAGAATCACCAATAAGAACAACTGAAATAACAAAGATACTTTTTTAAATAAATCAAAATGTCAAAATAAAAAATTATTATTCTTATAATTATAAACTGAATATCTTAATAAAAAAATTATAAAAAGCATAAGAAATAATAAAAAGATTAAAAGGATTGAAAATATTTTTTTTAAATTAAAACCTTATTAATTTATTTATACAATTATAATAAGTTTATTTTAAATATAAAAATAATAATAAATAATAATAAATATAAAAAATTTGATCAAAATAATATCGTATAATATATTTAATTTCCAGATATTAATTTTTTCCTTTAAATCATCATAATGTGTATATAAATATTAATAAAATGAAAAAAATAATCGAAGAGCGTAAAATAAAAATAGGTAGACTATTGTAAACATATTACATATAGAAATATAAAAATATAATCAAATATTTAATAAAATAAATTATAGAAATTATTGAAAATTGAATTGTCACGAACTATATACGAAAATATACATAAAAATTTTTTCTGATAATGTCATGGAATATAAATAAGTTTAATTAATTCATATAATTAATTATAACTTCAATTATTTTAAATATGTCGCCTGATAAATAATTAATAAAAATCATTTTACGAATTTTCATATGGAAAGAACATGTCTGATGTTATCATTTAAGTCTGATATTCTATCCTATTTCTGTCAATTTGATTTTATAAATCAAACATAATTTGACATTAATTCGAATTCTGTTATTAAATGATAACAATTGTTGATTTTTAACTAATGTGCACACATACTTAACATATAAAATTATACCTGCTTTATATGTAATATATATATATATATATATATATATATATGTATGTATGTATGTATATATATATATATATATATATATACAACAAACATGACAAGAATATGCAAATGTAATAATATATATATAGTCTCTAGAAGTATGTGAATGTACATATGTGTATTTGAAAAAAAATTTTCGTCAAAATTTTGTGAATAACAAAGTAATATTAATGAATTAAATCAAAATTTACCTTTAAATAAATAATCGTATTCATCATCCCGAGTGCCCATCTCGTCTGGAGCTATAAACCCCTTTAGTAGACTGACGGACGGTATCTAGATATCGAAATACACCACTACAATTTATAATTATTTACAAAAAAAAATCTTAGAAACCTCAAAACAGATTCAGTACACTGTTGCTTTATTCACAACAAATTCGTAGATATGTACGATAAAAATTCGAAACGAAACAAGCACGATGATATAATTATTTTCGTTCTTTCAATTTAACTGTACAATATGGCCTCCTTTCTACGCCCCTCCAAACCGATAAATTACACATGCGCAATGTATTTACTTTGTACGCATGCGCAAATTGATCATAAATTAAATTTATCATAGATCAGAATTATAGTAGAAAATATTGGTTTTTCTTAGTAAAAAAATCTCGATTCTTTTTAATTAATTTAATATGGATATATATCCATATTAAATTATATATATTTTAAAATTAAGTTATGAATTTAAACAATATAATGATTTTTATAAATTGAAAAAATCAAAAATAAATTTTTCTTTATAATTCTTGTGTATAAAATCAAATAGAAATTTAATATATACAAATTTATTTTAAATAATTAAAACATAATTAAGTTAAAAATAATCCGTTACTTAGAAAAAAATACGAGTTTGACTAATTATTTCTGTTAGATCTAATATATAAAAATAGCTATTAATCGAAAATTAATTATTGTTTTATATTAACAAATTAGATCATATAATTTATGATAATATGCGAATTAGTAATAAATAAAATGTACTCTTTTTACCTTTGTGTTGTTTCGAGTGCCATCTTTACATCTCTGCATACTACATATCTCTGCATACATATACAATCTTTTTATACATCGTCACATGTTCTTATATCTTCTAAACATAGAATCGTCCAATACCTAAACGGTTGAATATGTAGTGTAATGATATTTTTCAATTAATTGCAGGCTGGTTTACAAATGCACAATACGATGCTTATACATTTATAATTGTTTTTACATAAAATATAATAATTTTATAATATAGTCGAATGCTGTAAGTTGCTAATGTAAGTTAAAACCACGTGCTAATATAAAAAAAAAGTTAAGTTATTGAATTATTAATCATTTCAATCATATTATTGTTATTAATTTTAATTGTATAAATGTTTTAATTAGATTAGAATTATATTAATAATTAATACAATATAATGATTCTTAATTTTTCAGATTCACATTTTGACGATAGATAAATCTTACGAAATTAATAAATTATAATTATTTTATCACGTTAGTAAATATGTATGTTCTTGTTTTGTTAACTCTAAAATAACCACAAAATTATTTATAAAGAAATGTTACTAAACATGGAAGGAAAAATTCCTCAATACTGTATCAACAGATTGCTAAGTAAAAATTGGGAATGAATAAGTTAAGTACTATACCTCCAAACTTGGATCTGGATGATCCAAGATTTAGGATCAAACCTTATCAACAAATCATTGCTTCTTGCACTGGTGCTTTTATTACTTCAGTTTTTGGTAAAATTTACCATCATATCGTATATTGCATTTTTATAAATAAATAATTATGAAAAAATTTCTATATTATAAATCTGTTATATAGTTACTCCCTTGGATGTGGTAAAAATTAGACTTCAAGCACAACAGAAAGCAATGCTTTCTAATAAATGTTTTCTTTATTGTAATGGTTTAATGGACCATTTGTGTCCTTGTTTGAATGGCAAAGGTCCAATATGGGCTAAAGGAAATGGAAAATTTAATGGTACAGTGGTAAGTTAGATATATTTTTTAAATTAAAATTAAATTATATATATAATAAATTTTATTATATATATATAATAAAATCTAATAATTAAATGTATGAAATAATTTATTCGTAGGATGCTCTTATGAAAATTAGTAAGAATGAAGGTATTCTTTCACTATGGAGTGGTTTAAGTCCTACTCTAGTTCTAGCAGTACCTGCAACTATAGTATATTTTGTTTCATACGAACAGTTAAGATTATATTTTAAGGTAAATAAAATTTTTTTCAATTTTGCACATTGTAATATTTTTAAAGTTTTGTAAAACTATTTACATTTTTAGGATAAATATAATAGAAAAAATAGAAAAGCTAGTACAATTACAATGAAACAGCCATTTTGGATTCCTATGATGGCTGGAGCTATAGCACGTATTTGGGCTGCAACTTTAGTAAGCCCATTAGAATTAATTAGAACAAAGATGCAATCTCAAAGGTTAAGTTATGCAGGTAATATTTTATTTAATTATTAATATTATTTTTAATTAATTTAAATGTAATTTATTCTTCTTTATCTTAGAAATTCTTCAAGCATTGAAAACTGTTGTAAAATATAGTGGTATCTCTGGTTTATGGATGGGATTATCTAGTACTCTTTTACGTGATGTACCATTTAGTGCAATTTATTGGTTACATTATGAAACTATAAAACAAAAATTTCACGAGTCACAACAAACTTTTACTTTTAATTTTACAGCAGGAGCTATAGCAGGATCTGTAAGTATTTTTTATTTTTAACTTTAATTATAAAAGAAAAATGAAAGTATTATAATATATTATAGATAGCTGCATTTTTAACAATCCCATTTGATGTAGTAAAGACACATAAACAAATAGAAATGGGTGAGAAAGAAATTTATTCAGGTATTTTCATATTTATTTTTATATATTTTCTATTATAATATTTAAAATAATAATATTTTATTAATTAAAATATTATTTAAATAAAATAAAATTTAAAATAAATAAAATATTAATTAAAAAATGGATTATAGATAATCCAGGACGTAGTAGTGGAACATGGACCATAATACGAAAAATTTATAAACAAAATGGAGTAAAAGGATTATTTACAGGACTAATTCCACGTGTAATTAAAGTGGCTCCAGCTTGTGCGATTATGATTGCAACATTTGAACATGGAAAACGATTTTTTCAAGTATATAATGCTAATCAAATTCTTCAACGTGAAAGTGATATACAACTTCTAAAACACAAACGAAAAAATGTAGAATAAAGTATGATATTATAAAATATTATATTAAATAAAACAAATAAAAATCTATTACCAAATAAAACTTTATTTTATTATAATTTTATATAGAATTTTCTATAAAATTCAAGTTTTTGTACTTTTCAAAATAAATTTGTTTGTTTAGGAAGAAAAAAATAAACAACATAAGTTAAATTTTATGTTATCGACTATCGATATATTATTATTATACTAACCTCTCATCCAGACAGCCACTAATCATAGTAGCCAACAATGGCAAGTTTACAATAGAGAAAATCACTAACAAGAAATAAGTCAAGCGAGAATCTATAGTAGTCAATATTTAAAATTATTAATAAGATTTTTTTTTAATTTCTTAAAAAAAAGCAATGATAAAAAATTATATAAATTTTAATATAGAATATTAAGAAAAGTTAAAATAGAAAGTCTTTTTTGGAAATATATAATAGAAAATGTATTTATTAGTTACTGCAGACGAAAAACAGTTCGGCTAAATTCGGTTGGTCGATAATCGGAGTCGGTGAGAGTCGAAGTGTTGAAAGTAGTGAATAATAGGTCATCGCACGGAAGTCGAATCGTTTCGTTCAGTCCAGATAGGTTGTTCGTACGTTGAGCGTTTCGTACAGTAGTCACTCGCCAATTCAACATTCCAACAAGCCGGGTCTTCTTACCGCCTCTTTAAACATATTCTGGTAAGTGTGATTACTTATTAATGAAGAAACATGTAAAGTAAAAAAAATTCATTAAATCTTTTAATTATTGTTATTTAAAATCAAATTTCTATTTGAAATATTACTGAAAAAACATTTATAAATTCTTCAATAATCGTAAAGAAGAAAAAATTTGTTTTATCAATCGAAGGTAGAACATAAGAAGCCATTTTGTAATCTATTGTCAGCCATTCGCTGTTCTGTAGTTTTCGTTCTTTGTAATAACAGATATCGAAGATATTCGGATCGCATCACAAGTTAATTTTGACCCTGTATCCTTAGAATCTCCTATAACGATTCCGTCAGAAACGTTACGTAATCATACATTGCGTATGCCCGACTTGTGGTTAGTAATTCGCTGTTGTTCATAGGATTAACACGCGTCTTTCATTGAAATTCATAATTTTCCCATTTGGAGACATTGTCTTGTTTCAGATACTCATTTGAGTGATCATATAATTTCAAACGTCATCATGTATGCTTGTACTAGATTTATTGTACCTGTCGCCAAGTCGACCGTGAGTAATTTTCTTTTCATTTCGAATATTTTCAAATTTTTATATTATTATATAATCTTTGAGTAATTTGTCTTATTTTCAGTTGGTTTCTGGAACTAAGAATTATATTCGACCATTGAGCAGTGCTGTGGTAAGTCACAGCCAGTCTATACAGCAGAATCAGATTCAGAACCCATTCAGTGTAAGTAACATTTAATATTTTTCGCATTGCATAACCTCACCTCGTTACGAAGTTACATAAGCAAGTTTATTTTCATTAATTCAAAAATTTTTTTAATAAGAAACAAAATTTTTTTAAATAAATATATCAATTTGTAATAAATCATAAACATATATATATCTTATATTTCCTGAGTTTTCATCTTTTGAATTAACTTTAAATTAACTAATCATTTTATAATTTAGAATTATGTCATGAAAAATATTAATTTGAATTGAAAAAAGATTAAATAGAATAGTTGAAATAAATAATTTAAAATATAAGATGAATATAAAATTCTAAAATAATTATCTATAAAATTTAATTTTTTATGTCAAAACATTAAAATAAAAATAATAAAGATTATATAAGTCATTATTATTATTATATTATTTGATGAAGTAATTTACTTTATTTAATATATAATTGAAATCATTATTAAATTTGGCAATTTTTTATTAAATTTTTTTTAAATTTAAATATTTTTTATTTCATGAGATTTTTAAATTAAAAAATTTTTTCTTTAATATTACTCATTTTTTTTCTAATTATTTGAATAATTTTTATATAGTCTCCATTGGTGCAATCTCCAATTATACGTAGTTTCCAAACATCTACAATTAGTCGTGATATTGACTCTGCTGCAAAATTCATTGGTGCTGGTGCTGCCACTGTAGGTGTTGCTGGATCGGGTATGTATATAATTTTTGTTGTTAATAATTATGAAAATTATAATATTTTGATTCCTATTCCTATATTCATTTTCCCTGTTAAAAAAAATATATGAAATTTATATTCCAGGGATTGATATGATAAATATTTAATTTTTGGATCCTTAATAATTGGATATACCTAAAACCCATCCCTAAAATAGCAAGTTTTCAATTATGCTATCCTTGGTTTTGCATTATCAGAAGCAATGGACCTTTTTTATTTGATGATAGCATTATTTATATTATTTGCCTTCTGATCCTAATTCTTCTAAAATGAATCATCCTATAGTAGTAAAGTTATATCATAAATTACATAAATTTAAATTAATTTTTTTTTTTTAATTATAATAAATAAGATTATATATATGATTTCAGGAGCTGGAATTGGTTCAGTGTTTGGTTCTTTAATCGTGGGTTATGCCAGGAATCCTTCTCTTAAACAACAGTTGTTCTCATATGCCATTCTGGGCTTTGCCTTGTCTGAAGCCATGGGTCTCTTCTGCCTTATGATGGCTTTCTTACTTTTATTCGCATTCTAAATTATCAAAATCGCATAAAAACACAATATTACTAGTTTTAGTGCATCACTGTCAAAGCGGCGTCCTTTGATTCCTGCGAAGGAAACAATGGTAGTTGCCTTTGGTGCACGAGATGCCATGAAATTATTAGAGATGCTCGAGTATCCGGTTCGATGGGGTATGCGACGGTACGACAATGAACTGAAAAAATGGCGGCTGTACACGTAATTTAGATCATCGATCGAACCGTCTTTGACCCCTTCGGGGCCTTTCGAACTAATTTGTAATTATTTCATGGTTTACTTTATATCATGTAGCGTAAAAATTCATATTACGATAATATTGTACTTCAATATAAGAGACGAATAAGAATATTAACAAAAGTTTATTAAAAAGATTGAATAATAAAAAAAGTATGATAGCGTTGCCTGTAAAATTCATATACATATATGTTCATCATTTTTAATGTTATCAAATATTAAGAAACAGTAATATACATCGAACATTTTTTGTTAGTGTGGAACGGTTCATCATTGTTGTGCCATCGCGTGCGCGCATTATTAAGGTAACTGGACGAAGAAAATTGTACAGTGATATCGAATAAACACTTGTCGTAAAATTATTATTGAATTTATAAGTGATTGTTTTTGAGCAACCTTCCCTTTGTCATAATTACTTTTTTTTAGGTAGAAGTTAATTTTGATATATTGAACATTTATTTAATTATATTTCTAATTTGAGATATTTGCATAAGATTAAACAATTAATTTTAATAAATATTTTTTTCATTGAAAATATATGTTAAATACTAAATATTATATTTTTAAATTTTTTTAAATTTTTTGTATAAAATATGTGATTCTCTTAATAAGATTAGACATACAACATAATTTGTAAAAAATATGTAGAGATTTATTCAATGTTATATCTATTCAAATTTGTATCATAGTTCATAATTTCTTGTTAATATTCTCATCATTTTTAATATATTGTGCATTTTTTTTAATACAAAAATAAAATAAAATTTGTAATCAGGATATAGGATATTTACATTTTTTGTGATAAAATTCAATACAATTGTTAAATTTTTAATTTAATCTTTAAGTCATTTAAATAAGAATTGATATAATAAAGGAATACTTCAAGATAAATTTTACACTATTGAATTTAAAAATTAAATTCATATTATTAAATTTTTATATAATTGTAATTTTTATAATACATAGTTTTTATCACTATATTATATAATACAGTAAAAAATTGTATTTAGTCTGCAGTAGTGGTGAAACCTATAGGTTCTCCTATGTTATTATGTGGTAGCATATTTAGTTGATCTAAAAGATTTTCTCTCTCTCGAAGACATGACCATGCTTTTTCTTGTTCTTTTTTTGTTAAAGGTACTTCTCTTTGTTTTGCTAATATAAGTTTCTTGTAGTGTTCTATTACTTCATTATCTGCTGTATTAATTTTTCTTTTCAATGCTTGCCGCTTACTTTCCTCTTGAGCTAAATTCAATAGTCTTTTTAATTGTGTTACATTATGATTGGAAAGTGCAGTAAGCTCCTGTTGACATCGTTTTATTTCAGTCAAAATTTCATCGTCTTCTTGACTCTTTTTTTGTGCATCTGGTTCTAAAATTCCTTGTTCAACTAATTCTTTATGCATTCTTAATTCTAAATTTATAGAATTCTGAATAGTAAGATCTCTTAAAACAGGAGGATCATTATCTCTAAAGAGTTTATTATCTGTATTGTTATTTGCAACATATACATTTTCTTCTAATAAAGCAGAGACTAATCTTTGAGTTAGAGGTCCTGCTATACTATGAGCTTTTTTATCATTTTTTCCAACTAATAAAGACACATCTGAACGATTTTTCTTCTTGTCCCGATTTGGATTAGCTGCATCTTCTTCTTGCAATAAATCATTATGTGCCCATATTAAACTGTAATGACGACCTAATGGAGGAATTTTCTTAAAATCACTTATGTCATTATGTGTGGAGATTAATTCTTCTAACAATTTAATATCATCAGACATAATATCAGTACAATATGGATCAACAGATGCCCAAAATTTGTTAGGTGTATCATTTTTTGGTAAGAGCAACTTTGGTGATTCAGATTTAGAACCTTCAATTCTTGAAATTTCATGAACATTTGGAATGATTTGAGAGTTTGAGCTATTAACAGCTTTCTGTTTGAATAGTTTTGCTGGAATAGGAGATTGTGTTTTAGTACTAAATCCTTTTGGTTTGAATTTTTCTTCTCTGACTTTTTTATCCAAAAGAGAAAGACCCTTTCCACTTTTAGATCTTTTATCTCTGCGTTCCTCTGCTGAAGATAAATTGGTTATCTCTTCTTGAAGCATACGATGTCGCACAACTACTGAAGAGAGAAGCATTTCTAATTCCAACTGCAATGTATCAAGATCTTCCATTCCTACACCTTCTTCAGCATTACGTTGTAGAATGCTGCTATACCTTGGAAGAAGACGGCTATTATCAGCAATTTTTAAGATTGATAAAGACATTGCAGTTTCTGTACTCTCTGAACTCGTATCTGAATTAAGTGCAGTAGCTTGCACTGTCTTCCCACTTTCTCGTACTTTAACAACTGCTTTCTTAGAACTTTGTTTTCCTTTGCCAGACATGATTGTAACCTTAATGTTACACAAGTGTCTTCAAAAAATTCAATTATTATTTTAGTAAAAAATATTCATTTTTGACTGCTATATTAGATCATTTTTATTGTTTTTTTTATAATCACAACTTTTTTCTTCAAATTAATCTTTATTTTAACACAAAATAGATAAAAAAATCTTATTTTTTTATTTTCTTTCAATTTTTAAATTTTCAATTGTTATACATATATCATTCTGAAATGTCATAAAGTATTAGGTTATGTTAACAAGTTATATGTACAATAAATGCTTTGATCAGCTGGCGGAATACTATATAAAATATGTAGTCAATATCATTAAATTATAATAAGAATGATTCTATCTTCAAGAATATATTAAAAAAAAATATTTTTTTATTGTTATTTTATATTTTATAAACTATAAGAATAGTTATAATATAATATATAATATAAGAATAATTAGTCAATATGCCGTACAATTTTTTTTTCAAACAATAGTATAATAGTATTATCGCAAATGTTCTATTTACAAAGCAGTAACGTATAAACTAATCGGAATTTTGTCTTGTTAACTGATATTGTTATTTCATTCCATCACTTTGAAATTTTAATCAATCCTTTTGGTTAATATAGTATTATTAGATAATAAATACAAAAATATTAATTATTTAAAAATTAATAAATTGTCTTATGTATCGATTGTTTATTAACAATTAAATTAATAGGTTAATCTAAATATACAATTAATATAATATTTGATATTTCAATAATGTAATTTCATTAATGCTTTTAATTTAGTCCGCTAGATGACTCATAGATTTTATATGAACTATATATTAATACTTAAATTATTATTACTTATTTTTGTATTAATATTCATATTTGTGTTTATAACATTTTTTTATTTCATATTTTAAATATAAATTCAATATATACATTGAATCAATGAAATAAATCATAATTTATAATCGATTGTTAAATATGTTTTATTCTTTTTATTATATGTTTTTAAATATTTAAAATTTATATTATTATTTATAAATATGAAATTTATATAGGTCATAGGACATTATACAAATAAAAAAGTGGACAAAATATATAATATATAGAAAACAAAATTGAAAATGGCAGAAAAAGGAGCTCATTTAACTGGCACAACATTTATAAGACCTTCTATTTTTGAAATTATAGCACAGGAATCGTTAGCACATACTGTAGAACCGGCTTTTACAAAATTTTTATCGGTAAGTTAATATCAAAATTTTAATAAAATTTACATTAATTTATAGAATATAAATATTAGTTAATTATAAAAAGTGAAACTTTATATATTAGTTTTTACTTTTATTTAATAATTCGTTAATAAATAAATTCTATTTAATCAAATTATTAAAATTATAACATAACTTATAAGATAAAATATCATATATTAGTTATTATAATATTCCTTGAAATCAGTTAATCAAAAATTTAATTAATTAACTTTAAAAATTTATTATAAATTTACTATGAATCCTATTATAAAAATGGAATATTTATGTAATAAAATAATGAATACTTAATTAAAAAATAATTTATTTTCATTAAATATAATTTATTTTTTTTATTAAAAATATTTAATTTTGTAAATATTTTTATAAACTTTTAGTTTATTGTATCATTTAACATTGAAAGATATGGACATCTTCTTAAATGGACAGATGAAGGTTATTTAATTTTTAATACAATTCTTCAATACTATTATTTGAACAAATATTGTAAGTAATTTTTATTTGTTCATATAAATTTAAAAAAATTTATTTTTTACAAATATTTATTTATAAATATTTAAAAATATATATAAAATATATATATATATATATATTAATTTTAGCTGCATCATTTTCTGAAACATTTTATAGTTTAAAACGCATAATTATAGTAAACTCAAAAGTTAAATGTGAACTATCAAATAAGCAAAGAAGACTTTCATTAATGTTAACAATTTTATTTCCTTATATAAAAAGCAAACTTTCTCAACTAGTGGAAAAATATAAACTTGAAAAAGTTGATAATTGTGTTCCAAAGTCGGTAATTATATTCATAATTTCTTTTTTAATTTATATTTTTTTACTCAAATAATCTTTAAAATTATTTTTTAGAAATGGCAAAAATTATATCGTAATTGCATTATCAAAGGAAATGCAATAATTTTCATGATATATGAATTTATGGTACTATATAATTATGTTCTTTATATTTCTGGAAAATCAACATATACTTCTCTACTCTTGAGATTTTTGTCTATAACTTTAACATATGCAGAACCAAAACCGATACTTAGTATTTCAGATTTTTTAAAGAAAATTAGAACAAACTCCTTTGGTATTAATGATGGTATAGATATATTTCAAAGAATGATGACTACATCTTTTGAATTTGGAGCATTTTTTCTTCAATTCTTGTCTTGGTGGACTCAAGAACATTATTCAACTAATTTACTATCATTACCTATTCCATCACCTCCAAAAGTAAAAAAATAAACTTTTTATGTAATTAAATTTTTTTTTAAACTCAAAATCTACAAAATATTCATTTTAGATTCCAGAAATAGCAAAACAATACAAAGGAATATGTCCAATCTGCTATAAAACACTTAGAATACATACAGTACTTTCAGTGTCTGGGTATGTGTTACAGAAAATAATAAATTAAACAAAAATTAGAAAATTGAATTCAATTATAATTTATAAATATTTCATTTTACAGTTATGCATTCTGTTATCAATGCATTCTTCCTGTGATACGTACAAACAAAAAGTGCCCAGTGACAAACTATCCTGCTAAGGAAGATGATTTAATACGTTTATATTTAGACTAAATAATAATGTGCATATTTTACTATATAAATTGTAAATAAAATTAGTTATTTTTAAATTTACTTTTAGTGATTATGATAAAACAAAAAATTAACTTTATCATAAATTTAGAAATATATATTCATTATTTTATATATTCATTATTTTGTGACAGAATTTTCAGTATCAATGATAATTTGTCAAGAAAAAATGATATGGAATAAAATAATTGAATAATTATATTAATGAATAATATTTACAGGTACATTCCATTATATGATAGAAAAATACTGATTTTAATCAAAGGAATTTTTTTTTAACATCCAATACATTCATGTACTTGAATCACAGATAATGGCGTCAAAAGTTCCAGTAAGTTGTTTTGCATTACTTTTGGTAAAATATTTTAAAGAATGTAATATATTTCAATACTGAATATTCGACACTCTATATAAAATCTAAGAATAAAAGTTCGCAAAATATAAGAATATTACTTAAGAAATAGTAACAAATATTTACTCTTTCCTATACTTTCATATTATTTTAAATAATCAGTGCTCAAGTAATTGTATAAATGTGTTAATTACATAACCATATCAATTCAAAACTTTCCAAATTAAAATTTTTTTTTTTATCTGATTGAATATTATCTATTTAGATTTGGAACATTTTTTAATCATTATGGCACACTTTAAGAAGAATTTCATATAACATTAATATAGAATAAATCCAAAATTTTTTTATAATAATTTTTTATAATAAATTTTTTTATAATTTTTTTTATCACTAAATTTATGTAATTATTGATAAAAATTTAATTTTATAAATTAATAAAAGAAAATTTAGGAAAGTTTATAAGTTTATAAGTTTATATTTATATATACTTTAATATAAAAATTAAAATCATTTTTTATATATCATTTTTTTATATATCATATATATTTATTTCTATACTATTAATGAATATACTATATTTTAAAATATTTAGAAAATCTTATTTAATATAAAATCTACTTTAATTGAATACTTGAACACTGATTTTTCTACTATGTTGATAGGAACATTTTTTTTTAAAGGCCACATTTAATACTTAAAGATTCTATGTGTATTAATGCTCTAGTCTAATCAAACTAATATAGCAATTATATTAGTTACATTTCACAGTATAAAAATCAATAATTTTTTTGTATTTACACAGATTATGTAAAAAATTTCATATTCATACATTGGATTTCAATTTTTTACATTAATTTTGTTATAATACATAAATATTATCTTAAATTTATATATATATTTAGTGTTCAATAGAAAAATTATTTTTATATAACTGTAAAAAATTTTTTTTATAATAATAAATTACATAATAATAAATAATTCTTTATTTTGTAATTTCAAAATATTTTGACCAATGTATGAGTGCATGTAATTTTTTTAATTATTATTAGATATTTATAACTTATTTTTAATTACTTTAAAAATCTTTTTTATATTTATAATAAACACGTTTTAAATTATTCAAATTAAATAGATTATTAAAAACACTTCAGTATTATAGTTTAATAATAATCGTGCATGAAAACATATTTTCAAATTTTAGTAATAGTCAATAAATATAATATAGTCATAATATAGTCATAATGTCTAATATTTTGTCTATATTTCTTTATGAATGGGAAATTTGATTATCAATTTCATTTTTATAAATCGTTTGACTAGACTATAGCTTTAATGAAGTTTTTTTTTTTTTTGAGAATTTTTTCTCTAATTACACAATATAAAAGATATACAATACAATTTATTATAGGCACATTCAATCACGATTTTAAGAAAATTTAAGAATATTCACATATATAATTGTATCTAAACGTGCATTATGTTATTACTAGTTTTTTTTATAATTGAAATATTATTATAATTCCAATCTTAAAATATCAAAATATGACAGAACATTAAGAAATACATGCTTTTTGGGCATTGTAATGTTTATATAAAAAAAGATAATTTGTTTTAAAATTTCTATGCATTAAAAAAATATTTACGATTTTACAAATTACTTATTTCTACAAGAATTAATATCTAATGATTTTATTAGTAATTTTGATTTTTTTATATATACTTTGTGCAATTAAATGTTAAATTTTACTAATTGTCTAAAACATTTAAAATTGAAAATTAATATAACAAAACAGGTAAAAATACATAGAATAAAAACAATATAAGTTCAAAAGACAATTTACTGTATGAGTATGATTTACTAATTATATTGATATCGCAAATATTGGGATATTAACAAAACTACTACTAAAATACAACAAAAAGCGTACGTTTTAGTATTCTAGAACGTATACATACGTACGTATTTACGAGATTCAGATTCATCAGATTCATTTCATTGGATATTCATTTCAACTTCTCTTCATAGAGTTCATCAATTTTTTGATCTCTTAGGAACACATCAACTACAACTCTTCAAAGAATGCAACTCTGGCTTTGGTGGATCCAGATTTTACTTTCTTTAATGTACTGTACTTATTCTCACCGAGTCGCACTTGTTCTTCATGTAATTGGTCCAATTCGCACTGTTTTTCTCCAACTTTCATAACTTCAATTTCTGTGCGTAATTCTCTAAGTTGTTCCTGTAAATGTTTACTTTTTTCCCAGTAATCAACTCTTTCTTTCTCAATTTCTAAAGACAACTGATCGACATCTCCATCGGCAATCAGATCGTAAGAAGTGAGGTCAGTTGGCAAAGGTTCTGTATCCAATTGCAGTGTTTGAAGATCTGCTTGCAAATCT